CAAAACTTCTAAACTTAAAACTGTTTTAAGTCTTTTAAGAAATGTATTAAGCAGAATCTTTGTTTATTCTTTCCAAAATAGCTTAAACTTAGACTAGATGGACCGCAGAAAAGCTTTGAGCAACTTTCCTTCTATCCTGTTCTCAAAGAAAAAGGGCTGCCCACAGCATCATGTTGCCACCACCATGTTTCATCACACTGGATGTGTTCGCTTAAATGTCCAGTTATTTCTATCAAAGAATTTTCTTTCATAATATTTTTTTTGGCTTGAAGAAAACTGCCAACTAGATTTTCTGCAGGCAGATGCTTTCTTTTCCCCCTAATCTTTAAACATTGTGCTGATGACGGATTCTCCAACTGTAGCTGTGGATTCTTGTCCTTTCCTCTGGGTTACCACAGGCCAATAAGAGCTCAGCCACCCTGATGAGTAACTCTCCTCAGTTATTGCATCACAATATTCTACACCAGCTGTTTATCTTCTGTGTGAACCTAACTAGAAACCATATTTCTTCTAGCCTTCTTCATGCTTCATGTGGTGCACAAAGTTCCCCCATCCTCATCCACCATAATCCTCCAGTTCATCCATACCTTTCAGATATCTCCATTAATGACAACAGCCATCTCATCTTCAGTAAAAGTGACCATTTGCAAAATCTAAAATTAATTTTAGCCTCTCCTAAGGCTTGATAAACAGATCTATGACTATATGTTCAGTTCAGACGGAGGGAGAAAACGCCTCATCTCAAGATTCACTCTACAGTCAGAAGGACAGCTGTGAGATTCTGCTTCATTGAACATTTTTCTTGAGTTCTGCTGTGGTCTAACATCTCACCAATGCATTATTTATTGCACTACTTCCATATCAGAGCCCAGTCTGGCTGACTGTCGGGGCATCTCTGGCCAAACTATACACTGTGTTCTGTTCCTTTATCCACATCTCAATATATTGCATCAAGCTCACCAAACCAACTATTCTCCTCGCAAGCCTCCATCCTAAAGTCCCCCCAGATAACCCATCTCCTCCATCCCTTTATTCAAAACACCTTTAAGCTCACATGTTTGTGTCTGAGATCTTCATAGAATAACTTTACACAACAATCACATTGCTAAAGCAGGTGGGCCACATATGGGTCATTCCGCCAGCTCATGTACATTTGGCATTTTTGGGTTTATTTTGACTTCAGAGGACCATAGAAAAAAATATATATTGCATATATCTTGATAGAAAACATCCAGGGCTTCTGAAGAAATCTAAATATACACATGTCAGCCCATAAATAGCCCCTAAAATGTAAAAAAAAATCACAAAAAAACCCCAGCATTATTTATTTTACAATTCCCTGTATTTCAAGGCATGTGCTTTTAACATAGGCAGGGGTAGAGCACCATACGCTACCTTAAACAATTGCTATGCCTTTTTATAAATTGAAATAGTCACTGTAATGTGCGTGACGAAACTTTTGAGATGCCAGAATGTGCTCTTAAATAATTGTCTCAACTATTTAATTCCTCTGCCTCTATGGGGGTTTAGAATCTCTGTTCCCATGCATAGAGATGTCTGTGGCATGCACTCGCTTAACGTAGGCCTACGTAATCCTACAATAACATTATATTTAACACCATATATTTATTAAAAATGCTTTTCAGTAAAAGTCAACAGCAATAACTGAAATAACAAACGATAATTTTATTCAAAATGTATTTATTATAAATGCTCAACAATTCCTGTAATCAATAAATAGCACGATGAAAGAAATAATGTCTCATCATCGGGATTTGCTCCGTGATCAGAGGAAATGTTACTTGGCGCCGAACAATGGTGAAAATTGAAAGTTCAATTTAATATAATACAACTCTGTGAATAGTTCCGTCTGAGATTAATGAAAATAGTTGTTTTAATGGTTATAGAGTCAGATATGTGGCGGTAATGTTTGATTTATCTAAAGGTTTTTATCTGTTACTGTGGAGATGAGTTTGGCTGTAATTTAAGGACAGATTCTAATATATCTGTCCTTAAATATCTGTACTATAGATTCTAATATATCTGTCCTTAAATTTCTGTACTATAAATCTGATAGGAGTTAAATTTTTTTATTGCTGTTTTGCACAATATGCTTAACTAAGTATTTTTTGTTGTTGAATATTAGAGATTTTGCAGATATATTTTGTACATACAATGTTTAGATTTACTTATATATTTCTATCCCTTTTATGGAACAGAAAATCCCTTTATTGTCCCACAATTGGCAAATTTACAGCAGTAGAAAGATTATAAAAAATTGTCACACAAATGTGGACCTTAGAAAAATGTATAAGAATAACATAATAGGGAAGAGTTAAAATATAAAAAATAAAATTCTGTAAAGTGTTTTAACAATATAAAGCTGGAGAATAAATAACCACTATACAGCTATGGACATTTTTACAGGAATGGATACTTGAAAATAGCAGCAACATCAGAGATGTGCAGAATGACAGCAGCATGTTATTTAACTGACTAAGGTTTCTATCATTACATTTGATTTGATTTGTTCCTGCTCCCGGTGGTTGGAACCTTTATTCCACTCTGGATTCCTGTGAGTGTAGTCATTGTTCACTTTAACTTTTAAAAAAATAAATAAATAAACAAACCGTTTTGAAAACCTCGGTATTCATTCTTTTCCTGCTTTGTGTGTCAACTTACACGGTTGCTAAGCAACAGAGCATACGGTGGTAAAACCCGCCGAAGGGTGGACTTGTTTGAATTCACAGACAAAACTCTTCCGGCCTCCTTATTTTCAAGGACTTCAAAGGATCCAGTCTAGGTAGACCGCGTCCTTGGAGGATGCAGCCCAGGTTTTCGAACAGAGCCTCTGATTAAGAACAGGGCTGCCCGCACTGACGCGGCTCAGGGATTACGTCACACGCAGCGTTGAAAAAATCAGGACTTTTCCTCACTTTCTAAAAAAACCCGGGACGCCCGGGACAGGACGTGAAATACGGATATGTCCCGGGAAATACGGACGTTTGGTCACCCTAGTCTATATATGTTTAAGCAGACATCCCTTTATTGTATTCAAGTGTTTTTTACTTAGTTATATGCATTACCTACCATAATGTCCACATTCAAACACAACCTTTTGGCACCTTTCTCCTATTTCTGAGTAATTTCGAGCAGTTTTAATCAAATTCTTGCCATTTTTAAATGGTTTTTAATGCTTTACAAAATTTCTTTATTTTCTAAGATTTAAATGTGTTTGAGGAGCACTTGGGTGGCTATTATAAGCACAGTGCCTGTTTAGACCTGTTTGTGTAATAAACATCAAGCACATTACACATTTTAAATAATTTTTCTATGATATTGGCATTTTACAATATTTTACAATATTTATAATACAATATTTTTTTTTCTTTTTATCTCATTGGGGCTTCTAATGTAGCACTCTAACCTCAAAGCAGTCTGGTTCTGTTTTAATGTAGATGGTAAAGGAGCAAAAACTGTTTCGTCACGCACATTATATTACACAATGGTGTGAAAATTGTAAAAAAAAAGTGCTGTTGTTTTTTTTCGAGGGGCTGTGAGCACCCAAACTGGCCACATATTGGTTGTAAAATTGTTTAAAACAATAGACCAGAGTGTTTAGAGCATGTCCATAAAGTTTGAAGTTGATATAAAAGGTGAGGCCTTCTGTGGTTGTATTATCTATGTATACTGACATGTAATGTGTGTGACATTTAATTGTGTAAAAGCTTGTTTTGGTTTTTGTAAAAGGCCTACGGTTGAACTGAGATCCTCCTCAGGGTATGTAATGTTTGTAGTAGTAGTAGTAGACATGTGTGACAGGTAATTTAAACCCTTTTAAGCATTGTTAAGGCAAATCTTTTTAACTTTTGACCCTGATGATGAAAGTGAATAATATTATAAATATGGATAGTTTTAATGGAAGAAGTGTAAAGTTAGGCTTCTGTTTCAGAAATTTTTGTAAAATACAAGGTTAGGAAATATTTAAAGTGCCATATCTTTAAAAATATTCAAATGTTGACAACAATTTCTGTAGCCCCAAATGTACGTAGGCTGGGGGAAGCACTCATATCTCATTTATATTTCCTAAACCTTTTGAGTCTGATATATAATCATTATGTAGCTGCATGAAGCTGACACCCCACCAACACAAAAAAACCTCTGCAAATAGACTGAATGGTTAGTGCAGATTTCTGCTGAAAAAATAGTTGGTTGTGCAACTTTTATTGAAGGACTAAGCTCTAAAACCAATTTGGTTCAAATCAGAGCGTAGTGAGGGATCGTGACATCATTGACTGAAATATTTATTAATTATATCTTAAAAACAAAGGCAGCACAAATGTCGGTTGCAACAGCACGAATCTGCACTAATGAAGCACTAAAAAAGGAGACCACTTTGGTTCAATTCGTAGTTTAATGGGCGGATGGTGACCTCTGGATGATCTAAAAAAATAATCTTTAATATCTAATAAGCATAAGTAGCACACATTCAATTTTTTTGTGCACAAATCTGCATAAGCGTAGCACTAGACATTCAGTCTATTTTCAGGTTGTTTTTTTTTTTACAAGGGTGGGCAGTCAAGTTCAAGCAGCTTCATTAAGTACCTTTTCTTTGGCACCAGTGGCCTCTGTTTGACACTGTGCTTGCAGGGTTATGGGGTAGAGAGAGAAAAGGGGGAAGACATTTCGCAAAGGGCCACAGGACAGAATTCGAAGAACTGAGCCCTCAAAGCATATGTCGCAAGCTCTACCCTTGTGCAACTGACAATACAAGTCCACAATTATTTATGCTGTAACTTGAAAAACTAGTAATACGCTACAGGAGTGCTGAAACTTGCTGCATTACCAGGCACTTTGTATTTTACCCTGGAAATGATTATTTAATACTTTTATATGCACCAACATCCTATTTTTAGTTTAAAAACAAACTTTTTAGAGGAGCCAATAAGTCATTCACAATTACTGCATGTCACAGTTAACGAATAATGAGCTGATCTTACCAGCGGCGGGCTCTTTGGAGGGAAACAGCTTGTTATCCAGAGTCATGCTGATGTCACAGAAAACCTCCTCTTCATCTCGATCAGCATCCAGCTGAAACAGGTAAAAGGAAAATGATCTTAAGTGTGGCGTTTAAAACTTTCTCGACATTACTCTTTGTGCTTGACCTTCGTTCCTGCACTTTAAGGCTGAGTTTGACAGACGAATGAGGGGTTTCAAATGATTTTAGGTACTGGAAGCTGTGCTCTCAATTTATTCTGTATTCAGAGCACACCTGAAGCTTTTATAAAAGTACATTTATGAGCTTCCCCTCTGTGTCAGTCGGCTGCTTTCAGAACCCTCAGAAGTCTGTCTCACTTCCTCTGCATGATCAGCACTTGCAAATAGGGCCGTGAGGGATAAGGTGTCTGAGTGAACTTGAGACTTTCCTAATCTGCTTCTAGCAGATCCGATGTTCCATTCAGAGTAAAAAATGTTGCTGGAAGGCAGAGTGTGACCTCCTGCTGGTGGAAACAGCTGAAACTAAAACTGAAACGACTTAGTTGAGAGAGGGAGTAAATTTATAAAAAGCGAAGCCCTTAGCTGACTTCCAGACTCCTCTGGAGGTAACCATAGTAACCCCCCCCCCCCCGCCAAAAAAAAAGAAATATATATAAAAATACATGAAAATAATATATATATAAGAAAAAGAAAGAAAAGAAAACAGAATGAGATCCTGTATACAAGTGTGAGATGGGTGGGAGACTCCCCCGAGTCTGTGGAAATATGTCCCCATTTATATCAGCTCTTACAGACATATTTTTAATGTATTTTTATTTATTTTTTTAACCTTTAACTGTGTTATTTTTAGCTTTTATGATGTGGAACTAATAAGTGCCTAAGATGAACATAAGGGTATCTACAGTCGAAAAAAAATGTTGGAAACCACATATATACCACTGCTCAAAGACCTCACAATACGCAATCCCTGACATGCGTTAAGTAAAATACATAAAAAAATGTTATGCAGTAATGTGACATACTGCTGCTGGTGGAAACAGCACTCAGTGCAAGAACAGAGGTCTATTAGAAACATACTATAAAAAAAAGCAGTCCAGATGTACACCTTAACAAAAAGAGCAGATCTGGATGCCAAGAAATAATGAGACACTAATAACATATCAGCTGATTTAAAGGGGAAAATGTTAACATTCATTATAAAATGTTGGTGAAGCTGTCAGTTTCCTGCAATCCAACTCAGTGGGAAGTTCTCCTCTGAAATAAATAAACCAGAATTTATGCTATTTATGTGGTGCAGTTCTGACATTCAGGTAAAAAATTATTTTCTTTTTTTATTACAACTTTTCACATTACAATGAAATTTGACCTCTGCATTTAAGTAATCTCTTATGGAGCAGTTGGTCACCGGTGTTTGTGAAGACAATATGCACCGACTCGACGGGCTGCAAAATGACCTAACCCTTTAAATCTCTGATGAAAGCATTACGTTTTCATAAATATATAATGCCCAAACTTTTGTTACCCTTGCATTTCCCTTTGTCTTTTTTATACTTAGTGTTGTAACAGAAAATGAGGAAATAAAGGGGTTAGATAAGTAAATATAATAACTGGTAATACTAACAAACATAATAAAATTTCCGCCAGCTTGTTTTTTTCAGGTTTCTGTTGTTCAGCAGTGGAGCGAGAATGCTGAAATATGACAAAGGGTAACATGCACTGCCACACACTTTCCCTTCTTCAACACAGCTGATTCTGGCTGCAGTTCAGGAAAAGCCTTTTAATCAGCTATCATGGAAATGAGCTGTGCTGGAGCAGGGAACCCTCTAAAACCAGCAGGAGAGCGACCCTCCAGGACCGATTTTTGGCCATGCCTGTCTTAATACTTCACACATAGTGAGCAAATGTTAAACCAAGGGCGTAGGTTTGATTTCAACTTTGGTAGGGACAATATTCTTCAGTTTCATTGGTCCTTTGCAAAAATATCCATGCTCTTTTTTATGCTTAATGTGAGCTTCAGGGCTCATTTTGTTTAAAGAGAACAGCAGCATTTCTTGCTACATTAATACAAATCTTATAAGCACTACATGCACTAGATGCTGTTTATCAATATTTAAAGCATCACTGGCTCTGATGGATGTGGAATTAGGACTTTTTCCACTTTGAAAAGGATTGCATTTAAATTTACCTGCGACTAAGACAGTGTCTGTTTAACCAAATATAGTCTATAATATGTGGATTTATCCTGTGTTTTCCTCTGAAGATATAGAATTGTGCAGAGGTAAAACCCACTCTTATTTGTTTTATCTAATATGCTCTCTCTGGATCATGCAAAATAATACATTCAAGGGACGGAAAATAAATGTAGTGTATTTACATGTGGAACTAGAAGAGGAACTGACACTGAGCATTTAAAGTATTAATATTAGAAGTTGTACATCTGGGCTGTAGTTACTCTGTGTAGCTAATTTCATGTATTTTATCTATGGCTGAAACAATTAATCATATTAACAAATTATTTAAATAATCGTGAACTAATTTAGTAATTGATTAATCATAAACTGGAGTATAGGGCCACTAAAATGTGCCTTTAGCCGACCCACTTAGAGCAGGAATTATACCAAGATTGTAAAAAATATGTAAACATTTAGCATTTAAAAAGTAAAAAAAAAAAAAGTTTTTGTCTGTCAATATTCTCCATCCAGAACTCCTCCAAAGGAAACGTTTAAACGTTTCTGTTTCACCTGGTTTCATTTCATAAAAGATCTTCTTTCAGGAGCCTTTGGCTATCTGATTAAAAGATAAAACAAAAGAAATCCTAACGTTGTTAACTTACATTTCTCAAGTTCCACAAATCAAAAAACTCTCTCCTGCTTCTTTACAGAACTCCAATCAGAAGCTTTCGGCTGTTTTAGCGTAGATAATAAGTTTTTTAATTTGGACTAGTTTCGTAGCCCAATATTAATTTATTTTAGCGTCTTTTTTTTTTCGCGCTCCAAGCACCCGCGCGCGCACATACAGACTAGAAAACACGCAATCAGAAAGAGAGAAGGCGGAACTTAAGGCAGAATAATCAGAGAGTTAAACCGAGAGGAAAAGAAGCGGCTGCTGTATAGTAAATTATAAACATGTTGTTCACATCCGATTATTGGTAGGGACAAATAGGTCCGTCCAAAATTTTGGTAGGGACATGTCCCTATGGTCCCTATGCAAACCTACGCCCATGTGTTAAACATTTTAAATCCTTTCAGACGTTATTCGATTCTCTACTGCCTCTTTAAACATCTTTTATTGTGCTCTTTTTGCCAACAATAAAGGCAGATTTTGGTTTTAGGCTTTATAGCTAAACTGATGGCTTTAGATCAAAGCAGTAAAAAGAAACAGTTTTACATTTTTAAGTGATCTTGTTAGTCAACACATCCTATCTTTAAAAATTGTACATTCACCGTAATAGTAAATACGTACCAAACTGTGACTTGTATACATTTTACATCTTTAGTAAAAAGGTGAAAAAGAGCATGTCTTTATACATACAGTATAAAGCAAAATTTAAGCGAAGAAAAAGTAAAAACAGGCTAATGTGTCTAGACTAGGTCTGGATAATTAGAGACAATATAAATTCTCCAAAAGCAAAAACACACTACAGACTAACCCTAAAGAAGCACTCATGAGGTCAGCTTTATAATTATGGATATTACACAAAATGTCATACTGTAGATGGAAGTACTTTAAATTTATTTAAATATGTATGCAAACAAGCACCCCTCGCGACCCCAATTGGGACAAGCGTGTAAGATAATGGATGGATGGATGGATGTATGCAAACAATTTCTAAATAAATGATAAAGACAAAAGTATGTTTTACGTTTGTAATCTAAATGGAAAACGGAATTTTTTTTTTTATATTTCACCTGGAGCTTTTAGCAGCATCTCCTTCTGTACTAAACAGCCATTTTTATAACTTTATGATCTGATTGTTCAGGAGTGTTATCAAGGAGTTGAAGTTACAAATCCATTACAGTAGATGCTGTTTGTAGAGCTGTCAGTGGGCCGATTTAACCTTAAATAAAAGCATTTGTTAAGGACATTTAGAACAGAAAAACTCGTGAGCATAGTTTTACCTTAGTTTGTCTTAAAAGGAGATTTGTATTTTTTATTTTTTTTATTAAATGCTTACAGTGGGCTTTATTTTAACAAACCTAAGAGCTAAACTCACTCAGGGAATATTAATTTAGATCAGTCTTATTTTCTAGAGCGACAGGACGGCTTCATAATCTCAACAGCCAGTTATCTTCACTCACTGCAATTTGCACTTGGTCACTTCAGACATGTAGAGATTTTTGTATCTGCATGATTTGTCATCAGTGATAAAGAAACAGCAGCTAATATATAAATGATATGTGTGAGAGGGAGAACTTTGTGAAAACACAGAAAACATTGGTTATTGTTGTTCAGCTAAAACATTTCAACAGAGGCAAAATCAGGAAGGCCTAATACAATAAATACAATCAATTGATTGACTCATAGAGGTGAGTATTGATAATTTAGTTATCCCAGCTAAGCACTGATCATTTCTAACAATGGGTAACAGCCAGCGTTTATAAGAGACATTAAAGTTTCATACGCTTCAGTTGACATTTAAAGAAAAGAGGCTACTTTAATAATAAAGGTCTCTATTGGGCAAAAGCAATTAAGGCTCACATATGATTTCACATATGATTCTGACAGCTGAGATAATTCCCATTATATCCTCTGGTGAAGAGGATACCAAACAGTCAGATGAAACACTTTTTTAATTCAGATATTTAAAATATTCTACTGTTTCTTAACAGTGTGCTGGCAATAGCTGCTAATTTTTCCTTTCATAGATTTGGGTCACAATGTTTGATTTTTAACAACTGTGAAAACTGTAAAAAAAAAAAAAAAACAGGAAATAAAACCAGATAAAAAGCATATAACGCATACCAATAAATATTTTTTAAAAATTATGAATTTACGTACTCAGAAGAAGTACACTGAAATACAATGGTTGCAAAGGATGAGAAATGGAAACATGCTGACAGAAAATAGAGGTATGAAATAGAAAAGGGGAGATT